AATAGAATATATGTACCCTACATCAGCGGCGTAACTAGTGTGGTGTTTTGGACACCCCCTCTATCCATGTTCAAGTTACAACATTTATTCAAATTTGTTTTTTTTTTTTTTTTTTTAATACGCAGACATGTAATACTTTAACACTTTACATCAAAAAATTATGAACACACCACCGAAAAAATACACAATGTAAAGCTCAATGATATTCTGACAGATGTTTACATCTTTTGTTATATTTTGTTATTTTGACACTCAGTTATGTACTATATGACCGTATATGCCACTAACTCTGCCCTCCCCAGCCCGGAAATGTGAGCAAATCACATATTTAACATCATAGTGATTTCGTGGACAAATTGCGTGACTTTGAGGACTGATATTAAAATGTACTCTCTAGCTTCGCCGGCCGTGCATTGGATATTGATTACACTGTAATGAGAAAACAAATCATAATGGTTTAAAGTCCAAGCACACTCGTCCGTTGTTTTACTGTGGCATTAGAAAACAAACATAATGAATTATAATTGTTTGAAAAAAACACAAGGCCAAAGAAAATCCAAAGCCCACTTATGAATTGAAATTTTTCAAGACCTACTATTATATTTTCCAACGGTTATTTTTAAGGAGAAGGTTTTCGTGATTTTGAAGGATTGAAATATTTTCGCCAGGAGCAGGTCAATAATTTGTTCCATTCTACTATACATTATATCATTATTTGTTTTGTTATATTATAAACAGTCGTCAACAGGTCGACATTTCATATGTTTCGGGGCGATTGAAAAACGAACACTGTGTTTTTATCCAAATTAAATCGATCCGATAATTTACGTTTTCGTCGTATTACTACATATAGAAATGGCTACACACATTTACGTAACGTCCAATTTGAAACTGTCCGTATTAGTTCTCGTGTGTTACCGTGTCTCGCCGCCGGCCTTTTTTTTTAAATTTACATATTGGAAGTCGAACTCTCCGTATAGTTGAACTTATTTCGCGCTGCGGCCTCCGATGGCGTCACTGAGGCAATATATTTACGTCAAGTTAAGAAAAAAAAAAAAAAACCGAATGTTTGTCCGCCTACGATTACACAAAGTTATACACAAATAATAATAAATATATAGAGACAGTTGACATAATTCGAGCAGGCAACGGTGGTAATAGAGTGTCGTGCAATACCGACTAGTAGTTGTGTAGTTTATTGCGTTTGTTTACAAGTCGACTTACACGGGATTTTTTTTTTTTTTTTTATTACCCGAACCGTTTATCCATAATATACTGTCAACACGATTCAACCACATGCGCGGTGTTACGCAGTGGTTTTGCGTTAATCAACCGATCCGTACGGTACGCATTATTAGCGTCGGCTGTTCAAAAAAAACAATTTCAAAATAATATAGAAAAAATAATTTCAAATACATAATTATATGTGCTAGTACGAAAATTTAATAAAATGTCGCGTTTCCTATTATTATAATTATTTTATTTTTTTTTTATTCTTTTTGATTCCGAGTATAGCGAAGACAATATTATTAGTTGGACACAATATAGATTTACTAAGATGCCATATTCTTTATCTCGGAATACACTATTTCGGTTGTAAAAATGATCACATATTTTCACGCACGTCCTAAGGAGACGTAGTGTTTTCGTCCGATGTTACTGCAGTGGAAACATTGTTTTGAATTTCTTCACAATTCGCCCTCCTGCATTGATTTTATTTCTGTAAAGTGCTGACTGCTGGGTTACCTTGTAAATAATTGGAAACGACCGGCTGATAATACAGTAGCTAAGGTTAGGTTCAATTAGTTTTTTTAAATCGTAATTACTTATCGCGGCTTTCGGTACATAAAATAAATTACCCTTTATCAGATAGGCTTTATCCTAAACCTTGTAAACTTATAGCGGCGATCGGCCCATGGTGTGAATATGTCCGGGGTTTTTGAGTCTTTATCCACCAAATTGAATGGATTTTCGTTCGTTTTGTCTGTTTTATAGTTTTGTAGTGACTGTTTTGAAAATGCCTAGTGCGGTAGTTTTGCACATCACTAAAACTAACTCGAAACTCTCTTATAATTATAAGAATATCAACGGTCGAATCGTTAATTTTCATTAAAAGCCAAAAACTTTTGGACGTTTGTTTATTGGTAAAACTCGCGGTAAAAATAATTAATGAACGTCCGTTTATCAAAAAGTAAAATTGTTTCGAAATTTAAAACTTTTCAGTGGATGATTTTGATTCGTTTAAAAGGTGTGCCGCTATCTCCGCTGTAAAAATGTGTTTTATTATATAACTACACGGTTTTTGTTTTATTCGGGTTTTTATTTTTATTAAACAACGAATTTACTACAACATAGTTTTTTTTTTCATTGTCATGCAGACATTCGATTGCTGAATACTGCAACCAAAATGGAGTTTTTAATAAATATGTACACGTCGGTGTATTTGGAGCAGTCGATCATACACATATACTTGATTAATAGTTTCTTCTGCATACTTCACAAGTAGGTGCCGGTTAGTGTGTTGAGTATGTATTATGTCCTATTATCGGAGTCCAGTGTTGGTTGAGACAACCAATATGTTTATCTAATTAATAAATACAGATAATTACTAAAGATTATAGAGTAACATAAATACGTAATTTCCTATGACGACAATGCAATTGTTTTGAAGCTCAGTCGTCGGTCATAAATCTATAGCACCTTTACAGATATTTCTCCGCCAAATCGCAATTTGCACAGTCGCAGTTTGTAGACATTACGTTTTTTTTCTTTTTTTTTTTTTATAATTTAAAGTATAATATACAAAATATATTGTTATTGTTTGTTATATTTGATATGATATGTTACACACAATTATTATTATATCACATTTCTTAACAAATAAAAAAAGAAAAACAGTAAAAGATATATATTTATGGCTTGGTGTAAAAAAAAAAAAAAATTAACATTTAAAAAAATGAATTTACAGACGAATATGCTGTCACTTAAACAAAAGTATACCTATTCACTGTGTATTGGCTCAAAAACATATAACGAAACACAATTATTGTGGACTTTTTTTTTTTACTTTATTCAAAGTCCAATAATTTAACTATTCCAATATAATTTTTATATACATGTATATATGTATATATCTAAGTTTAAATTATATATTATGTATCATGTGTGTGTTTACTTAGTATTACTTAGTATAAAAAATGTATATTTTAATTAAATGGTTTTTATAATATATTTTATGTTTTTATAACCAATTGAAATCTGTAAACAAAAATGTTCATACACATGCATCATTCCTAATAATCCTATTAGCTTATTCGTCAAGCATACACTAAACAGATAAAACTATACCTACTTGGCAAATTAGAAATATTGCGTCTACTCTTTCATTCCTTGTTAATTGCTATGGCTGCATAGAAACACTGTAGAAACCAACCGATCTGCAACTACACATATACGATAAAATAAAAATATAATCTGTATGTAACCTTGTATTATCATAATGTGTTGGTTTATATTTACGATCAGTTTTGGTTTAAAAATTCGCCATCTGTACTACAAAGTATAAATCGGGAAATATTTTTTACTAAAAATAGTCACGCTTTTCGCAATCTTTTTCCACTTAAATTTTTGTTTGTAATATCACCTATATCTCACTGCATGCTAAAGATTCGTCAATAATATATGAAATAATGACGTTTTCAGTTACCTACGTAACATAAAAAGATAATAAAGCTACTGTAGTTATATACTATTAGGTAGACAATATAAATAAGATACGTAGGTAAATTAAATACAAAATAGTATATTATATAATATAGATAATATTATATTTCTGAATTACCAAGGTTACAGCGTGATTAAAAAACCAAATTGTTTTGGGAAATGAGGATATTATAACATTATTATTGGTACTTAATATCTATTATGTTCCGTTATTATTAAAAACAATTAAGAAGACAATGTTAAGACATGTTGGATTTATCCAGATAAAAGCTGATAGTATGTTGTTATCTTGATTATCTTCAAGGCGATTTTATCTAGATAATCCTAAGACTGCTTACCCGTGTACAAATACATATATTGCGGTTATTCTACTGCATGATTGTTCTCTTACGATGACGGCAATAGCCATGGAAATAGACACGGATATTATTTCAAACGATATTAATATGACCGAAACGGATTATTCTGCCACTAATTCAAAATTAATTACGATTATCATTACCGTCCTAATAATTCTATCTTAACATTTCTTACGCCATACGAGCTCACGTAAAATTTCATTAAAATGGTAATACGAATAATATGACAACAATAATGTCGTAAGCCAAAGACTATGCATTACATGTGTGGAGACCCGAAATAAATCCGAAATCAATACCGAGTCAAGTCCGGGTGTACAGTGTGTAACAAAATGAAAGTCTTTTTTTTTTTTGAACTTAAATTAATTACAATCGGGCAGGAGAAAAAAATGTAAATTTAACGACCAAAAATTTGTACGTATCTACAATATAAATGATATTTATGGATTATCATAGAAAATTGATGTTTTGGAAATTTTATTAATTCTATAAAAAGAAATCGCAAATACACAAGTTTAATACAAATAATAAAAACATTATTTTCGTAAAATTTCTCGTTTTTCCTTCATTTTCCTAATTATTAAAAAAAAAACTTGGAAATTAAAAAATGACCTTCTTAAAGTACTACCTGGGTACTATTTTCTTACACTTGAAAATCGTAGCGAAATTTCTGGTATAAATTTTGTAAACAGTATTTAAAAAAAAAAAAAACATAATTATAAAATCAATACAAAATAAAATATGATCAACTGCGTGATGTTTTCAAATAAAAATCAAAAATTGAATAATATAAAAATTATAATATTACTGGTGTTAGTACGAAGAAAACCAATATTGCGGTTAGTGATCATAAAATAACAAGTTTATCCAATATACTTAGTGACTTAGTTAAATCTGAAGATAATTGTGCGTCACGTGGGACGACTAATAATATTAATATACGTGTAAATTCAAGTACTTAATGCAACTATGTTGGAAACAGACCCAACAAAAAAAAAAATAATAATACAGTTTAATCAAATTACAACTAACGACATTGTTATTACCTCTTAACGTGTATACTGTGGCATACGGTAAACGACTCATTTGACTAAAACTATGTTCAACAGGAAATTGATTGACGGTGAAACAAATGTTCGTACCTATAGTTAGTTTATTCTCCAAGTTTAAGAGTGGATTTTTGTGGTTCTGGTTGAATAATTTTTTTTAGTAATTGGGACGGCCAGTTCTTTTAAAGGCCAATACAAGCGATAAATATGGAAATGCGGCACTGAATAAAGGTCGCAATGTATAATAGTTCGTCATAAACCGTCGCTAAATATGTCTTAGGTCTTATGTGTGTATTACGGACTCGAAAAATTAATATTATATTTTAATATGTCACGGTTCTATATTTAACTTGCGCACTGTGTCGATTTTTTTGTAATGTTCTCTTTTGGCTGTGCGTCCGTGTAACAGACTCATTACACAAACCTATACTATTCGATATTTTGTCGACGATTGATCCGTAAACGGACGCCACGGCGACGCGACAGAAATAACGGATCTCCGAGTGATGTGCGCAAGTATTGAATTTGAAAACAAAGACAGTAAAAACCGCCTATATGTGAGGTTCGATTCGATCAACTATATACAGTCACAGTGTTGCGTGTGAAGATGCAATATTCTAAAGTATCCAGATAGAATATGTGTGTGCCAGAACTTAGATATAAACCATAATTCGACGATTTGGTTTTATTTTCTATTACATATGTATCGTAATAATAATATCAGTTTCCTTCGTACTATGGGACCCTGTGGGATCTAAACTCAATAGTAAAGTAGGAAACAGTATAGGGCCTAAATAATAAAAAAGTGGCTAACTGCGGCCACAGCCATTAATTTTTGTCTAAACATCTCCCGTGTTTTTATGTTTGAAATTTAATTCTTATTAAATGGTAATATTTTGTTTTTATATAATTTTATTTATAATTAATTTACTGACAATGCACATGTGCATGTATATAAATACATTAATTTTACTATACCAGATTTCGTATGACATATCCACTACAATTCGAGGCTCTCTGAGACTATGAGAGCCTCAAAATCTAATGGATAATGATCGCAGTAATACGTACTCAGATCGACTTTAGAATCTCAGCACGTCAATTGAACCGTAAACATGTTCAAACAAAAATTTTATTTTTAGAATTAAGGTGGTCCGCGTTTTAATCATATAAGTATCAAATGGTACTCGGCGATAAAATGGTTGGGAACCCCTGCTCTAGACATTAGCGCACCACTGCTCCGAAAACTTTATTGTAAACGGATCCGTCGTTTGGTCCGCTCCGTGTTGTCATATTGCCGGATATCGCGTTAATGTCCTTTCTTGGTCGACGCGTTTTTCTGCTCCGACGGTCGTTCGCTTTTCCTCCGCCTGATTTCCCATATGGTTCTGATGATCCTCGTATCCGTCGGTATTGGCCAATTTTTTATCTCCTACCAATATTCAAACGTAGTCGAAATCCATTCTATTCGCTTCAACGTGTCCATATGCTGTGCACCTGTTCTGACTTAGCCTACACCGTCAATGTAAAAAAAAAAACGGAAGTTTATGCGTTGTGATATTATCGTTTAAAATTGATCGTCTCATAATAAATACACGTACGATATTTAAATAAGTACCTATACCTACCTACGTATAGTACGTATAATATTATAATATAATGACGTCACTGCGTTATATATTATTATATTAATTATTCAATTAATTTCATCAGCACGTTTAAAAAATAATATTGTTATATACGACTGACCTTTACTGCGGCGCATTCATAATATAATACACCTAGTGTTTTCTACAGCGCGTGTATACGGGCAAATTCAAATAAAAAAATTATTTTTTTATGTAAATCTTAAACTATATTTAATAAAATGTAATAGTAAAATTATTATTGGAATATTACGGCGAGCGCGGATTTCACAATAATAATAATAATAATAATAAACCAAAACATAACGATATTATGGCTATATAAATATTGCGCATTATTATTATGTTGTCGTAATTGTTACAACGTGTTATCATAATATTATTACCCGTGTATTGGTATATACTCGTACAAACTCGAATCGCTGTATTTTCGCAGATCCTCGGTCGAAGATTTTGTGCGATGTTACGCTGTCGTTTATGTCTGTACGCCGTTATTTTCGATTCGTTTTAAACGGATTCCGAGCGAAACGCGGGACGTATCGGTTTCACTATAAAGTGTTTATTGTTTGAGTGTATGTTCGTAAACAACATTTATACCAGAAATGGTATTCCGATCAATAACCTTGTACGAACTTTCTTGCAGAATTTTCGAACTATTTGGTGTGCTGTGGCGTTTGTTTTTTTATATTCAGTTTTCTTTCAAAAAAAAAAATTGGAAATACGGTTGATTTTTCGTATCAATTTTTTTATTTTCTGGCATTTCATTTGGCAACAAGGAAAACAATTCTGTTAATAATACTCTGCTCAGAATCATATTTCGTTAGCAATGGTTAATCGTTCCATAGAGATATACATTTAATTATCTATAAGTATACTTTCACTTCTAACCTCCTATCGAAAACAGTAGTACACAACTACAGTATTCAGCTTTTATTTTTTTTTTTTCTAAGTAACAATTTGATAGCGTGAACTGTTTTTTTTTACCAAAACAATATTTATTCACTAAATTCATTCTTCGATAAAATTAAATAATTTTACAGTATTTGGCCTTTGAACTTATGTATTGAATTTTTTTTAAAAACGTACGATTAACATCGTTTGTATTATAATATGGATATAATGTTAAATGGGCGAAAACTCTCTGTTAATTTTTATTAAAATATCTTGCAAATAATATTATGAAAATAACTCGATGGTAACATATAAAAGATTCATAAATATACGTAACGTTTCTCTTTTTTTTATATTATTTACAAAAAAAAAAAAGCCATACATAAGTTTATACGTATTATAAAGGATTACAATAAGATTAAAAATAATTGAACAAAGAGTACACGTATATAATACGTTTTTTTTTTTTTAAAAAAAATATTTGAGATAATAAGTAGGCAGCTGGTTTTTATTATTATAATTTACTCACACATATACGTATTTGTTTTTTTTTGTTCAGTTTATTATAATTACTTAATAAAATTAGAAAGTAAAAACAATATTATTAAAATGGTTAATACGCATACATAAATAAAGTAAATAAATATAGTAAATAAATATATAAATAAAAAGAGTATACATAAAAATAAAATAAATAAATGCATCAATACGTCACCTGGAGTGAACTATACGACCGGTCAACATATTTTAGATAATAAATAATTACCAATCAATTTATATTTCTTAACATATCTATGTCCAATAATAACTAATTTTAAATAATCTGTATATAATATTTTTTTTATATTCTATGTAAAACAACCAGTTTGTAATTTTTTTTTTTTTATGTTTTCCTACATTTAATTTTTTATATTCAGTCGCATTTTACATTTTGACGTGATATACCTGATGATGAATTTTTAATTCGAAACCGGTCGTATAACACACTTATCATATTACTATAGGCGACGCATTGATTAATTAATTAATTTTATTTTTATACATGCTTTATTTATTTATTTATTTATTTATAATTATTTATTATATTTTTCTTTTAAGATTTTTTTTTTTTTTACCAATATAGTTTACAAAATAAAAGGCTAAAATATTTTAAACACTAACACATTTTTCGAACACATAATACGATTGATATTACCATATGGTGATTGTGTAATTAAAAATAAAAGGTAAATATAATACGAATTGTTTATAGTTAATAATATAAAATCAATAAAAATAAAGTGAAATTAAAAAAAAAAAAAAATGCTTTCTGAAAGTAATTATAACAATATTTGAAGTTACCTCTTTTTGTCTTTCTATATGTTTTATTACAATCGAACTCCTGAGTTCTCCATCCAACCGACATGCACAGGATACTTTTTTCGATACCTTCTGTAGATCCTCTGTAGACCTTGTTTGTGGACTCTGTTCAACTATACGATTTATGAATTATTTTTGATGGCCGCAGCTGCAAAATTGAGATTCCACTATCCCCGTTTAAAAATTAAAGCCATTCACAATACAATTTTCGTCAAAAAGACCTTAATGACTGATAATAATTGCTGGTACTTTCTGCGGTTTGATTTTGAAAATATTAAGATGTTTGAGTTTAGAACCAAGTATAGTATTATAATATTTTTTATTTAATTATTTACCATTGGAAATTAACAAATCTATATAAATGTTAAATTTGTAGTCTTGTAAATTATTTGATAAAATCGGCCGACCGATGCAAAATTAACTTGTTTATGAATTCAAATATATTATATTTCTTTAAATCAAAGTATTGTAAGTGCCAGTGTCATAGCTAGAGAGAGGTTCCTGGGCTCAAGCCTCCTCCCCTAAATGTCATACGATAGAAATTTTTTGGAAGTAAATTGAAAATTTAACTGAATACCATATTTGCCATGTTTGATACAGCGATGCCGTACACCTTGACGCCCGCTGCTCCTAAGAAGAGACTGTGGTTTAAGTGAGAACGGAATAAGCAGAGTCTCTCTCTACTTAAGGTAAAATTATCAGTGCTCTTTGGTTTATATCTTCGAAGTCCGGATGGACGCTTTAATTATTGTCCTAGAGACATTTTTAATTGAAATTGTAAAAACTCGAATTAGTATTAATAAAAATACATGTTTTAATACCTATTAGATTATGCATAAAAAGAATCTGGTTTACTTTACTTTTAACGAGCAGGCATATGCGTATGATAATAATTTAGGGGAGGGAGTTATTTTTAAACTTTATCCAGTACAGCATTTTTATGATTAGATTTGTGTGACAGAAAAATATTTTGCAAATTTTGTCTCCACGTTAGATTTCCTAAAAGTTGCGATACGCGAACGTGTTATTTTTTGTGAATCATTATCTTCATTTAATCTAACCTATTATTCTATAACATTGTCAGCAGCGTGGGGTGAACATTTCATATTTTTTTCTGTAACTAATTTTTTAACTATATTGTTTGGTCATCGAAAACTGAATAATATATCCTGGCTACAGCACTGGTAAGTACCAACATTTTTGTCAAG